GATCCAAACCTCCTGCCAGTCTGGGCATTTCCCAGCATCGTGTTTCCTGGGCTCCAGGAGAGAGCCAGAACATGAATTTGTTTTTCAGGAACCTGCTACTGCCTAAGAGAGTCCCTGCAGAGAGACCCTGGGCCAGGGTCTGCATCAAGCTGTATCGTGCTGAGGGCCTGCCCAGCATGAGCGCAGGGATCATGGGTGGTTTCTCCAAGATCATAGGGGAGAAAAAAGTCTTTATCGACCCATACGTGCAGGTCTCATTCTGTGGGCAGCAGGTGAGTCTGCTGGGGGTGTCTGCGTGGGGCCTGCTGACCCTCCTTTGGCTCACAGCCAAAAGCTGGGCTGTATTTGACTGAGGCTGACAGCCTCAGCTGTGGGGGAGCCTCAGCCCTCTGCTGTCTCCATGGGACACAGCAATCTCACCAAAGACAGACTGGGACAGTCCACGTCTTGCCATTTTTGGCAGTGGACTGAGCCACGTGGCCATGAATGCGCAGTGTCTGAATGAGAAGGCTTTCATGGGACTTGTGTCTCTGCAGAGAGCTGCACAGGGACAGCTCTGAGCACAGCCACTGCCTGTGCAGGAAGAGATTTCATATCCCTAAACACAGGGAGGTCGTCAAATCCCGGAGCGGAAGTCTGCTGTGGCAAGCTGGATCCAGCCTGACAGCCTCGGGAGAGATTACTGAGCTAATGGCCCTTTTCTTGCACCCCAGGCCAGGGTTTCTGGTCTGTGATATCCATTAGGATGACAATCAGTCCCTGGGCAGCCTGTTGGGCCTGGGGGTGCTCCTGGAGGATCCTGTGACAGCTGGCGGTGCTGCCTGCTTGATTCCAGTGTTTCACTTGGCTTGCAGGACACATCCAGGACTTTCAAACAGCCATTTTTGGTGAAGCACAGAGAGCACTTGCTGGGATGGGGGCAGGAGCAGGGACACTGCCACCCACAGAGCCTGCTTGACACCATCTGAAGGCAGGACAGGAGGACACGCCATTCCCAGAGAGGGTCTGAGCCAACCCTTGTTCTGGCCACTGGCTGGGACTGCATGGCTTTCACACCGTCTCCTTCCCAGGGGGAAACGTCGGTGGAGACCAACACCACTGAGCCCGAGTGGAATGAACAGATCAGCTTCATTGAGTTGTTCCCGCCTCTGGCCAGGAAGATAAAAGTCCAGGTGATGGATGATGCCAATGTTAGTGACATGGTCATTGCTACACACTACATTGACCTGCAGCAGATCTCGGACCCTGGCAGGAATGGTGAGGCCTGGCACAGCTGCCCCGGGGCAGGGCATCCTGGGCAGCCCCATGCCATGCACCCTCTGCTTGGTCATGGTGATCTCCTGGAGGTGGGAAGCAGGAGTGGCTGAAGCACACTCGCATCCCAATGTCCTGGACTTTGTTCCGGGGGAAAGGTGTCTCTGCAGCAGCACCCCGTGGTGTAAATAGACCCTGTCCCTGTCGCTGCAGGCTTTAACCCCACGTTTGGCCCAGCCTGGGTGAACCTGTATGGCTCCGCCCAGAACTCAGCTCTGCGGGACATCCACAAAGACCTCAACGAGGGCATGGGCGAGGGGATCTTCTACCGCGGGCGCATCCTCATGGCCATCACGGTGGAGATCTTCAGCAGCCCCAGTGTTGCAGAGAGGAAGCTTAGGGACAAGAAGAAAGATGCTTTAAGCAAACTGAAGCTGAAGAAGAAAAGTAAGAAATCTAAAGACAAAGCCAAAGAACTGAGCCAGCTGTGGGGAGAGGAGGAGGCTACGGGCTCTCAGGAGGCTGAGCAGCCCGGGGAGGTCACTGTGGAGGTGGAAGAGCTTCATCCACTCCCAGAGGTGAGCCCTGCCATGCTGGCATGGCTAACCCACGCCAGCCTGTGGCATGCAAAAGGCCTCATGGGGAAGAGGCAGTGGGATCACTTGCAGATGTAACAGGGCTGGAGCAAACCCAGCCTGCTTGTTGCTGGACCATCCAGGGCTCTCCAAGCCTCTGCAAGGGCTGAGGCCACCCCTGCAACCCCGGAACTGCCTCCCCTACTAAGGCTGGAGCACCCCATGTGTGCTGCCTTCCTGGTACAGGGAGGTCTCAGACATGGCTGTTATTCCCAGGGCACAGCTGCCTTTGAGGATGTACTTTTTGAGCCAGGGAGCTGTTAGCTGGCTCTAGGTCTCTACTTGGCCTGGGAAAGGCAGGCAAGACGTGGCTGTGTTGGTACAGTGGCCATCCCTTAGCATACAAACCTTGGCTTCACACAAGCAGCAGCCAAAGCCATGGCTCTGCACCAGCCCCCCCGGGGTTTCCAAGAAAATTTGTCCTGCATCTGGCAGCCTAGCACTGGTGACCTCAGCAGCATTCCACTGATGTCCCCTGGGAGGGCTGGCAGGCACTGGCTATGTCATGGTGCTCTCCAAATTTCTGCTGAGGCGGTGTTTTGGCACATGAGGCTCTTGGGTTGATTTCTGTCTCCTTGCTCAGAATGCATTGGGGAGGAAGGAGGAATTCCTCCTCTTTGCTGCCTTCTTTGAAGCCACTATGATGGACTCATCTCTCAGCTCCAAGCCTGTCAGCTTTGAAGTCTCTATAGGTGGGTATTTCCCAGGGCCCCATGTCTAGAAACTTATGGGAACAGTGTGAATCTCTCTCTGACAGCCCAAGTCAGCACTGCAGTCCTAAGGTGCCAGCCCTTGCACAGCTCATGCCTTTGAAGCAGGATGTCAGGAAGGATGGGGCATGAGGCCAGGGAGTGTCCACAGTACCTTAGTTGCCTTATAAGTCTGAATGCTTTCCTATGGGATTGGAGACTTGCAGTGTTTGTATGAACTGCCTGTTCAGGGAGAGTGGTTGAAGCTGTCCTGGGAAGTGAAGGTGAGAAGAGGTGGAAGGATTTGGGAGTGAGAAAGGGATGCAAAGGAGGGGAAGCTGGGACATGGATTGGCCATGTGGTGCTGAGGGACTGTGACAGGGGTTGATGGGGAAACAATGGTAGGAAAACAGGTCCAAGCCCCCACCTGCTAAGCTGGATGAGTGGCGATGCTTGTTGCTGAGAAGTCTTCCTGAATGACTGCTGCTGACCTCAGTGCAGGGGTGTAGATGGCAGTTAACAGGAACTTGGTGGAGCTGGTGGAACTTAAAGGCAAACACAAGGGCCCAGCTCCTTCTCCTGACTCCTTCTCCTGGTTGTCCAAGTGATGTTCTCGTGGTTGGATGCTACTGAGCTGTTAATTCCAAGAACAGTGCATTCCCATGTGTTTCTCTTGACAGGATGATTGCATTCTGATTTTGCAAGCTGGCAAACTTGTTTAACAGTAATCCCACTTATCTGTTTACTGTTTAATGCTTAACTTAAAGGAAACTATGGCAAAGCTGAAGAGGTTGTGACCAAAGTATGGAGAAAAGTGGAAAAAGGAGAAATGAAAGAAGAAAACCAGCCTTTGCTGGATCCTGGTTCAGATGGTGGGTTGGATGTTGAATTCCTGGCCCCAGCCTCAGCAGCACTGAACAAGTCGGTGACAAAGAGCCAGAGACCAGAGCCCATGGAGTATGACAGGTGAGTTCTCTTCACCCTTCTTTCCCACCTGCCCTGGTCCTGCCCACGCTTCCCAGAGTGGTTATTCCAGATGTTATTAAGAGGTCTGCTCAGCAATGCAAGTGCTGTGCAGGTGCTTCTCCTCTTTGTAACACTGCAGCTTGCCATGGCCTAATGGGGTGCCGTTGCTCATTAGCCCTACGGTGTCTGCTTGATGTGTGCAGGTGTCCAAGGACAGGGTCCCAGGGAAACTGTGACCCATCAATAACTGCATTCCATTTTCTGGTTTACAAGCAGCATCCTAAGGGCTTGATGCCATTGAGGAAGAGGGAGAGGAGTACTCTGGCCCATGCTGTCCTATGTTGGGCAGGCAAGACACATACGCAAGCTCTTCTGGTGATCCGTTTGCTCTAGGAATGCTGTCTTGTTTGTTCCACAAGCCTTGCAATAGCTTGGTGTTTGTGCTCTGAGCCCTGTGCCTGCTACTACTTAGTCCCATAGCAGCAAGAAACCTCAGCAGCATCCCATGCTCCCATCGGCCTCATTCATCTGGGCACATGCTGCTCTCTCTGCTAGAAACCCTGTGTGCTAGTTCGGGATGGCAAAGGACAGATCCAGCAGCTTGCATCCACGTCTGTGGTGCATGGCCCAAAAGAGCTGGTTCTCTGAGAGGAGGGCAGAGCCCAGATGCTGTTCCCCATGCTGGGTGTGCAAACACTGCAGTTGTGACATGGCATGTGCTTCCTGCAAACAGCTGTAACCTCCTGTGCCTGCTGCTCTTAGGTCATACAGCTGCCTGCCCATGACACATGAGAAACCCTGCGTGTACGTGTGGAGCTACTGGGAGGATCACACCTGGAGACTCTGCATTTCCAACTGGATTGTCAAGCTGGCAGAGCGCCTGGTAGCATGTTTAGGATGTCTGTCTGTGGCATGGTTCTTCCTGGTGTGATTTCCTTGTAGTGGCTCTGTGAGATCTTTGCCTTAAACATCCTCACTGTTTTTTCCCCCCACTTCCCATCCGGTGCCATGTCTCTTGCAGGGCTCAGTCCTACCTGTCGTTTAGACATGTTGGTTAGGGCAGTGAGTGCAGAGCCACTGCCCATGCTGTGCCATAGCCTGACAGTGTCTCCTGGAGGTGTGCAGGACACGACATCTGTGACAAAAAGTTCCTCTACTGCCAGTCCTGAGCTGTGTGTGCACTGAGATGTTGCTGCAAGCAGACTCTCAGCCTCGGACTGTCATCAGTGGGGTGCAGTCTCTTCCCATGGCCTTATTTTTCCCTTTTGGGCTTAGAAATCCAAAAGCAGAGTTTGCTAGTGTGTTTCACTGGCTGCTCAAGGACTGAGACACAAGGTGTTGTAACAACCAGAGTTAACATCATCCCCAGGCTCCAGAGAGCCTCTGGCAGCACAGCGCTGACGTGCAGCACTCTCACAATTCCCAGCTCTGCAGAAGGGCACAAGCCATTTGTAGCAAAAGCATCCTTGCAAGCGTTCCACAGCCAGGTGCAAGCTCCCTGAATGTTGTGCTTTCCCCACAGGAGCAGGGGCTGGATGATGTGGAGAAGCTTATAAGAAGGCCAAAGGCTGGAGCAGAAGAGCGGCTCAGAGAGGTGCTGGAGGAGTTTGTAGCTGGATGCAGGTTAGCACGTCCCTCAGTTTCTAAGGTTCCTTGTTTTCAGGTTAGGAGGTCGTATCATGTTCTGTCTGGGCTGTGCACAATCTCCTCTCTTGCCTTCTTGAGGTGGATGAGTAGAAGGAAACCAGGACGACCTGGGGAAAGGACCCTGTAGCTCTTTAAGCTTGGAGAGGAGACCCCAGACCTGGAAAGCACAAGGGTCACAGACTGCAGTCTCAATGTTCCTGAACTCCTGGGTTTTTCCTAAATGTTAAGACATTTCCTTCACTCTCTTGAGTCACGCAGACAAGACGCTAGTATTGCAATCACTGCGACTGTCTGGTGGGGTCCAATATGCACTTCATGCCCAGTCTTATGATGGCAACAGTAGAGAGGGAGCCTCAGGTGCTAAGCAATCCCCAGTGTACCTTCTGAATCAAAAGGCATCCAGAAGAGAGGGCGCTGCAGGAGGCAGGGTCTGATGCATCCGGATTAGTACCAAGGGTTTGGAGTTTGTGCTCCTGCTGTATGAGCTGTGCTCTGCCTGCTGGGCACAGAGGATGCAGAGTCTGTGCTGCTTTTCTCATTGCAGGCACTATTCACTCAGCGCAGAAAGAAAAACAATGGCACATCCAAACAACCTTGACAGATGTCGGACGAAATACCTGATGTGCAGCATTGTAAGCTGTGGGGCGTGGTGGTAGACTGTGAGAGGTTAAGAAGGAAACTTGGGGCTAAAGTTCGTGGTATCAGTCATAGGTTTTTACTGCAGCATCTCCCACTTCTGCTCAGAGCAAAACAGTTTCCAACACAGGGAACAAAGGCAGGGACTGGCCATAACTGCCTCCAGTTTTATGAAGATGCTGTGCCCTGCTGCCATCCCTCCTGTCCTGTGGAGCACATGTAGCTGAGCACATGCATGGTGCTGCCCAATAGGTTGCCAGAGGTCTTTTAGTGCAGGCTATTCCTGCAGGCAGTTTTGGGAGAGCTCACTGAGACCCACTGCCCCTGGAAACTCTGCCCATAGGCTGGATGCCCATCTATCTGCCTCACCCCAGAGAGAGTAACATCTAGGCACTCATAATCCTGCAGACAATGTCAGCTAGCTGAATGAGAGCACAGTTACCTACCCTCCATCACAGCTTAACAGAGTATGGATGTAGTCATAGTCCCCATCAGACTACAAAGCTTTGAAAGGTGGACCAAAATGCAATGACAGCAGCAGAAAATAAAGTTTAGGCATGTCTGGGTCCCAGCTGCCTTCCCTCTGCCTCCCCGCATATTGACACCTGAAGGTACTCTGCTAAGTCTGAGACTCTCTGAAAGAGATAACCAGTGCAAGAGATTAATTTTCTGGCCTTGTCAGTCCATGCTGGGTTTGCATGCTGAACTCCTTTTGGATTTCATTATTAGTTTTGATTAATCACAAAGTCTCTACTCAGATCTGTACACTATCAAATAATATACATAGAAGCCTAGCCCTGTCTTCCAGATTCCTTTATCTTTGTATTCTCATACTTCTGTGGCCCTAAGTTGCTCCTTGTGCCAAGCTGCCTGCAGGCACTATCTCGAGCCTTAGACCACTAGCTTTTGAAATGTTTATTCCTCATACATCTTTCTGCCCCAAATGATGCAAAAGCTCAGGGACTTCTGTTACCAGCTGGTATTGTCAGACCTGATGAGTTACTGGAGTCTCCACTTCTTCGCATCCTTCACTAAATGGCTTCTGACAGGTTCATGGAGGTTTGCTCTCGGCAGCTGGGGAGTGAGCCATGGTGGAGGTCAGGGCAGGATGGGGGTGATTAGCACACAGGTGCTTTCCGCAGAGCCCCCATGAGGGGTGCCAGCGTCACCTGGGTCACGGCCAGGAGTGTGACGGTGCCCACTCTCTGTTCAGATCCTGTATGCAAAGCAGGGGCAACGTGTGAGGCAGCAGCTGACCCGAACCAACATCAAGGAGAAAGTTAAGGAGACAAGGAGGATCCTAGCAAAGCTACGCTTCATGGCTAAGGAGGTACAGCTACTACTGGGGCACCCCATTTCTGAGCAGGAGAGGGCATTGGCTAGCCTGCCTTGGGGCTTTTCCTCTGCTGTCTTTCCTTGCTATGTAAAATCCCAAGTTCCAGCTGCTGGAACTTAACCATATTTCATGTAATGGCTCTTATGAGGGATGAGGCTTGGCAGCTTTGCAGGGCTGTTGGTAACAGCAGGGATCTGAGCAACTCAGCAGTGGTTTGGAAGCAGAGCTGGGCCAGCTCTAGGTCACCTGGGCCTCTCTGCCTGGCCAGCCCGAGGCCGTGCCTGCAGTGGGGCTGCAGGCAGAGTCTACCTGGGCAAAAAGCCTTGCCTGTGCTGCCTGCACTCCCACCAGGGTCTCACCCTGGACATTTCAAATTCAAACTTGTATTGAAATAAGATCTCTCATCCATAGCAGAGACAGTCTCCATTTTCAGAGTTTCACAGGCTCTATTTCAGGTAAATCCAGAAAATCAGTGTGTTCGTGTAGTGTAAACAAGAATGCAATGTTTGCTGGAGTTAGATGGACAGATGTTACTGCTGTTTGGAGAAGTCTTTCACTAAGTGAAGTCAGATCGGTTTCCCACCATTAGCTATGTGAGGGTAGACTTTAGCATGAACAAGCTGTCACCCCTCTCACAACCAGGAGGAGAAACTGTCCTCAGGCTCCAGCCTCTCAGGCTGGCTGCACCTAATCCCCTAGACAGAGGGGGAAGCTCCTCCCATTTTGCTCCTGCCATCAGGTGGGAATGTTGCTGTCTCTGTAGGGTGAGCCCTGCACATACACATTTGCCACTTTTAGTCCCTGCTTGAAGGCTGGCAATCTTGGTTCGGATCAGTAATAAATTACTACAGCTACTTGTGTACTGAAAAATTGCAAGTACAAGTACTATGTATAAGTGCAAACACTAATGGCAGGGAAACTGAGATGGGGAAGAGAACTTACATTAGTTTAAAAGAAGTCATTGCTTCTATCTGTCCATTTGTGTTATTGTAAGTGCTGCTCTCAACCTGAATCACAGCTTTACACTGGGCACTCATGTTGCTGGGATGCCAGCGAATGTGTTTCCTAATGTCAGCCAGCCTTGTGTCAAAGGTGTGGGGCAAAATGCCACTTCTCCAGTTTCATGGAGGCTCCCTCTCCCCAGCATGGCATCCTGCTGGTGTTTGCAATGCAAAACAAGGCAGATCACAGATTCCTCCAAGAAACCTGCTGTGCTGATCTTCACAGTAGCTAGTATGGGGCTATGCTCTGCATTTGTGCTGAAAATAGTGTTGATAACACAGGGATGTTTTACATTGATAACACAGAGGTGCTTTAGCTATTGCTGAGCAGTGCTTACACAGTGTCAAGGCTTTTTTTTCTGCTTCTCACACCAGCCCACCAATGAATAGGCTGAGGCTACACAAGGAGTTGGAAGGGGACACAGCTGGGACAGCTAACCCAGGAGATATCTCATACCATATGATGTCATGCTCAGCATATAAAGCTGGAGGAAGAAAGAAGGGGGATGTTTGGAGTTACGGTGTTTTGTCTTTCCAAGTAACTGTTAGGTGTGATGGAGCCCTGCTTTCCTGGAGGTGGCTGAACACCTGCCTGTGATGGGAAGTGGTGAATGAATTCCTTGTTTTGTTTTGCTTGCATGTGCAGCTTTTGTTTTCCCTATTAAACTGTTTTTATCTCAACCCACAGTTTTTCTCACTTTTAACCTTCCAATTCTCTCCTCCATCCCACTGTGGTGGGGAGTGAGTGAGCAGCTGTGTGGGGCTCAACTGAATAGGGTTAAACCACAACACCTGGAGAGCTATATTGTGGGTCTGAGACTTTCAGAAGCATGAAACTTTGGGTCTTTCATTTTCTTCTGGATCTCCAAAGCACCGCGCATCCAGCAGTCATTTCTGTGAAGAGATGAAGCTTTCAACAGGTCAGTGGAGGGAGGACAAGATATGTGCTCTTCCTCTGCTGTGACATTCTTTTCTTTCCTCCCTCCAGCCCCAGTGCACCCTCCCCGATATACTCATCTGGATGCTTAGCAACAACAGGCGTGTGGCATATGCAAGAGTTTCTGCACAGAATATCCTCTACTCGGTAGTTGAAGAAGAGAAAGGCAAGGACTGTGCGAAGATCCAGACTGTCTTTATGAAGGTAGGATTTATACCAAGACAGTGTGCTCTTGTTTGCTTCATGCTGCTTACCCTTCTTACTTCCAACCCTCCTTCCTGGAGTTCACCAGGAAACACAGTTCTTGCTCCACCACTGTCTTTTGCCTCTGCTAATGTGGTGCTCCGTCTCCTGAGCTCTTTGGTTAGTTGCTGGCTGGTGAGGATCATGAA